ATGAAATAATAATAAAGATAATTTGTATTTGAAAAAATTTTATTAATCAGTATAATAATATATATGCTAATAATAAATTCTATATACCAAATAGTTTGATATATAGAATAAGCATTATATAACGAACTTATCCTATACTGAAATAAATCCTACAAAACAGAGGGTTCGTTATATCCAGTGGTGACTGTATATAACTTATAAACTTTAATTTTATTTTATTCAAATTTTGTAATCAATAAAATTTAATAAATTCAGTTTTGAATTTAAAAAACTAGAACTAATTTATTTTGCAATTAGTTTAACTTAATTTAAATCTAATTATATAATCATATTCTAATCTTTATAATAGATATAATTTATTATATTCATAATTTGATTTTAATAATAAATCTTCTATATATAAATAGTTATATATATAGAAACTAGTCTAGTAAAAGTTATAGTTTAGCAAATCATGTGATTTTGAGAAAATTGCAGTTTAAAATTATTAGTTAATTTATAAACTGCAATTTATTTTATTATTTTTAAAGATTTTTAAAATTGGTTTTTTTTGTTAACTAGGATAAAATTTTGCAAGAAATATATTAAAAGCATTAGTTTTTCTTTAGTAAGTTTATTTTATTATTAAATATAATAATAAAAAAAAAATACAACAATTATAAATTATAAAATATTATATTTTTTTAATATGCTATATATAAATTTTTTTTTATTTTCTGAAAAATTAAATCAATAAATATATAATTATAATAAAATTTTAAAATTAAAATTTGGCTAAATCCTAGGTTTTGCTAGACTGGTTCTTATATTTATCTAAAAATATTAAGACTAATCAAAATATATTTATTTTAATAATCGTAAGTAGCATAAGTTCAAATTTTAAAGTCCAGCCTGGTCTAGACTTTAAGCCATAAATTAAAATACCAGCTTGATTCAATTCAGATTAAATTTATGTATTAAAATGTCAGACAAGTCTAGTACAGACTTAATTATAATTATTGGTGATATAATCAATAGCAGCTAAATTTTAATTACAAAAGTTGCAAGACATATAATATAAATTTTAGTTATCAGTACTGATTTTTTAGAAATTTTAGAATGTAAGTACTAATCAAATAATTAAAAATTTTTTGGTGTAAATCAAATTACAATATTAATGTCAAAAATCGTCACAAATATTTTTTTTCTATAAGAACTTTATGTATTTTAAAATTTTTTAAGTAAACATTAATAATCTTTATCATAAGTTTTTTCCATAATAAATAAATAAGATAAATTGTATTTGCATTTAAATGAAAGTCTAATGAACTATTTATTGTTAAAGTTAAGTAACGTAAATATATTTTATAAATTTGATTGGCACTAAGCAATTTTTAATAATTTGATTAGCATTAACATTTCTAACATTTCTAAACAATCTGATAGTATCAATAAACTAAATATATATATCACACAACTTGTGTAATTAGCTGTAAATAATGATTTTTGTCAAATTATAAAAAAATCTGAGCTGGTACTTTGAACCCAGACCTGGCTCAGAAAATTCTAAACTTATATTTGCCAATTTATACCTGACCCAGAACCTGAGTCTGAGTTAGGTTCTCATATTGGATTTGACCTATTGTAAGTCTCTAATCATAAGCAAGAAAATGTAATAATTAATTTTATAATAATTAAAAAATTACAAAAATAAATAATTATTTATAAAGGTAAATATTTAGATTATTTATATTTCTATATAATATTTCTAAGATTTTTTATTTTATTTATGATAAATAAACTTATTATGTTAAAAATAATATTATAAATAATTATTATAACATAAATTATTTAATTTTAGTATTTATATAAATGTCTTTTTATAAAGTTATTAAATAACTTCAACTTTTAATTTAAAGATGAATTACTTTTATAGTAAGTAGTTTATATATACTAAAAATTATATAATAATATTTTAATATGAATTATGATATTTAATAAATAAATTAAAATGTTATTTTATAAGTAAAAATTTATTATAATCTTTAAATAAGATTATTAGATAAAATCTGGAGGTTATATAAATTATCTAAATAGTAGAAGGTAAATTTTAGCAAAACTAAAGTTTAAACTTTTTATTAAATCTAAAATAAGTTTAAACAAGCAACCTTAACTGTAAATATAAAAATTACATTATTTAATATTTCATTTTATAAGTATTTATGAACTTAAATTTTTAAATAAAATGTATTAATTATATTTTTATCATATAATAATGATGATTAATATTACAAACTATATTAAGGACTATTTAATAATATATATTTTAATGCTTTTATGATTAAATAAAATTTCTTATACTTTAAAATCAATAAATAGTTTTATCAAATAAACAAACATATTTAAAATAATATATGTAATGATATAGCATATATTTGTTAAATAATGTTTATATAATCTTTAACTTATAAATGAAAAAATATTTTTTGGTAGATTTCTCTTTCTACTGCAAAGGCTTATATATATTTATAATTTGCAAAAAGTATGAAGTTCTTAACTTTTCAAAGTCGTTTATAGGGAGTATTAGTCATTCTTCTCTTGTTAAAAATAAGTTTTTATTCATATAAAGTATTTTATAAACTACTTCATCATATGCATCACGTAAGTGGTAACATTTATATTTTTAGAAATATTAACTGGTAAAATTTAGTAAAATAAAGTACTGCTTTTTGTTATTTTGTTTTTAAGTTTTATTAAGTAACAATCATTATTTCTTTATAATGCAAATATTTTTGAGAGCCATTTATATTTACGAAAATTAAATTAACAATCTCTTAAAATAATCTACAAATCGACACTTTTTTTTATTCGATATCACACCACACAATTTTATTTAATACTTTATAATGTTAGAAATAAAAATATTTTTACCATATAATAAAAATCGTTGAGATCTGGTAAAAGTACCACAAGTTTCTTTTTCAAGTCATTTCTATTTTTCTTGATCTCATCGTCAGTAAGAGGTTAACAGCCATATCCATATCACGAAGACTGCAGACACCCTTCGAAAGCATCATCAAATTGGCGCAAAAATATTCTATATATCTTTTTAATATCACGAGCTTGTGTCATCAGCACGCTATAAAACTTACTATCTTGCGTGGGTTGCACATCGTAAGCAACTATATTCCACATATAGATTTTAGAATTAGCAAGACTACAACCAGAGTACCTCTCATACGTCCATGGAATTATATGCCAACACTAACAGAGTTAATATACCCAGGTTTGCTATCTACACTCGATTATTAGAGTTGAATTCAATATAAAGTAGGTTTAATAGGGAAAATCCTCATAGACTAAAGCCTTTACAAATCTAAAACCATTATTGGAAATACGCCAATCATCATGAATAAAAATATAATTTCTACAAAGTTTTTCAACCTACCTTTGCTAGAATTCTGAGTAATTTATTTTATTCTCGCAGTTATGTTACGAGAATACACATTTGCTGTCGCCACGCCGATAGCATCATTTACTATCCTTCCAATTCTTCTTGTTCCACCCATTTTTTATATGCAGTGTTAAATAAGCATACACGAAAAATTAAGTGGTACATTTTTTTATTTTATACATTGAATAAATACAAAGTTTGGGAACTCAGCCTGGGAACATGAAAACTATATTATTACATTTCATTGCGTACAAATCTATGCCTCGTGATGCAAGTCATAATACCCTTTATATACGAAAAAATAAATCTAGTCTCTATGCAACAATTCTATTTTAGGTAGTTTGGCTCTGATTATCATGCTGCGCAGATATGATAACGACTGCGGTAAATGGAAATTATTCAGGCCTAAGTATAAATTGGGTATGAGCTTTTCCCATTTTTTTCATAAATTCCTCGAGCCATATAGTGCTTAAACGGCTTTCTAGAATATCATGACGTAATACCTCTTCACCGATTAGCCTGTCACGATCTGTTAGAAATGTGTAATATTTTCTAGGATCATTTTTTTTCTCTATTGTTTCACGATAAAATTGCATATCATTCTCCAAGGCAGAGTGGAAGCATTCGCTGACCCATCTTTTTTTCTCAGCTCTGAAATTATCAAAAATTTCTCAGAATCGATAACATGTTCAATGGCATTTTGATTAAGATGTTCCATCTTATTTGGGTCAGTCCTAGAAATTGGTGTTCGAGATTTGGGTGCTAAACTTCCTTGAGGCGTGTCTGATGTACTCATTTTCACGAGAAATTTTTCACCAGAAGAATTGGAGATCATGTGCCCGTGACAATTTGTCACCCACATTCATGCATACACGAGTTAAAAACACAGACATTAAACTCATTATATATACTAAAAAAATTCAGATGCAAGCGAAACTTTATTTGCATGGACAGTTTTTAATATTCTAATAGTAGCATAGTATAAAGCTGCACAGAAAACTTAGATAAATTATGAAAAAATGATAACATGCAAAAGAAGTGTATGATTGCAATGAGAAATATAACAATAATAAAATCGCAAAAAAAAAAATACACGAATTAATTTTCGAAAATATCATATAATTTTTCTAATATATCAACCTAATTGTTGTCTGCTGCATTTAACATCTCTTTCCATAATGCACGATCATTCAGTTCACTATTCCAATAATCTCTGATAGCCTGTGTACTTGATGATGCTAGATCGGGCTTCTTCAGTGGATTACGCAAAACATACATTGTGCGCACAAAAGAATGCAAATCATCTGCTGGTTTTGGAACATAATTTCCCATTTCATTTTCCAAGATAAAAGGCGAAGCATATGTGGTTGTTCCTTTGTAAGGAACTACTTTGTTATTAAGATTACAAATTGCCGAACCCAATCAACAAGTATTAGAGAGTTACTTTCAGTTTCTAGCATGATGTTTGAAGGACGAACATCTCGATGATAAACACTATTTGAATAAATACGCCTTAAGAGGTTAGAAGGTTTTTACAATGTTGAGCCTTAAATTTGTTATTAAAATTGTTGCTAAAGTGTTTGCAAACTGGACGAATAATCAGGTGATAATCATCATTTGCAATAAATATTGGAACATTCGCAAATTTATTCCGATTCTACCCTTTCAGAATTTCTGCCTCATTCTTTAAATTATTATCAGAAAATATCTTTATAGCAGCTGATCTATCATTCCAATTGATCTTATATACTTTCGCAGATGAACCTTCTCCTAGAAACTCCTCCAGGCGTATTTTGATAGTTTTTGTGCGACTTGAAGAGACTGGAGTAACAAAGTCAACGCTTGTAGGTCCACAAATTTTTACATAGCCTGAATTTCGATAAATCAATGTATTAAATAGACGTAATCCTGTCTTGGTATTCTTGATACTGACTAGTGTTCTAATCAAAGGCAATAACATAAAAGTACGTCCCATCTGATAAAAATATAGCGAATAACCTGCGTAATGGTTGTTGTTCAACAAGAATATGAAGATAGTCCATCAGTAGTCCTTTTTCTTCATCGGAAAATCCAATGGATCTCTTGTGCTTCTTCAACTCCAGGATTGTTTGGACAACTATGGTATTGTAAGCACCATTTGATATGTCATCAATATCAAAAATACTGAGATCCGGCTTGTATCCATTGAGATATAGCGTATCGTTGGTTTCCCTAAAAACCATATTATTCTTTCAATTTGAGTTCAAGCGAGTCATCACATCTTTGAACCATTTTTGAACTTGTTTCTCTGTCATCGCTTGCGTCATTGGGTTATTTTGTATATATGTAGCTACGGGACTGGCGAGGACTCCAAGGTAGGAATTAGTCTCAGCGAGGAAATAATCAAATTGAACCTTATTAAAAACAATGCTCTTGTAAACTTTAGCGCGTGTTACAGAGTCTAGAAAGTGCAGAATATAGGATTAGTGATAGAAGATGGAAGGATTTGCATCTCAACTTCCTTACTTGGCAACTCAGGATCTCGATTATGGCGTTTTTCAATACGAATCAGTACATCCAAGCTTCTTTTCATAATTTCTGAGTACTCTTTCCTAATTGCTAAGTTTTCTTTTACAGCTTGTACTACCTCTGAAAGGATTGGTGTATTCGCGCTGACAGATCCAATTGACAAGCTCTAGAGCAATTCCCGTGAATACGTGAATATGTGTTCATAATACTTTTGCAATAATATACGTACCATTTGTCCAATTCCATATGCGAGATTCTACACGGAAGTATATTGATGAGTTGCTATCAGAAGGATGAATAGAGTAAAGTCATTGCTACATTCACTTATGTTGACTAATTTATTACGACTCACTTACCGGTGGCAACGGGTTGCTCTATAATAACGTAATGTGTTTTGGGCGGGTTTGACGATAAGAAGCAGGAAAGAAAAGCACAAGAATAAGTAAGTATTCGATATAATGATAGCGCGCGCAATGATGAAACATACCAGGCGTGGATATTAGAGACTTAAAGTAATCCCGCTTCTCATCATCTGTTGTGTAGTTAGGCACAGCAATATTTATTTTTCTACGTTTTGAATGAAGTATTTACGTAAACTGGCAAGTTCATTTTGAGTGAAACCAAGACGTTTAAATTCCGTTCTAAGAGTCGTCAGTGCATCCATTTTGGTATTACAGCTGAGAAAAAAATTTTTTGGGTATATATATATATTTATATAAGAAATTGATGTCGCACAGATTTGATCTGACTTGTAGTTATAAAAAAAGTGCTGAACTTTGAGATCGTGACCTCATGTTACAGTCTCGTAAATTTCGTAGTTTTACATATCAGGTATAAGTCACGGTACTTTATTAATGCGAAAAAATAAACACAAATCGAGTCTTAAAAAAAATAATGTGAATAGGTATCATATACATATATACGTCGCACAGAGGTGAGAAAAATAACAATTAATTTACAAGAAATTCTCTAACCATTACCTCTGATAATTTTAACCACTTTTTTGGATGAATAATATAGAAACTCATTGGAATTAAATTATTCACAGACACGGTTTTAAAAAACAAGCCAGAAAAAAACCTAAAAGCCTTGGAATCAAGAATTAAAGAATTTGATTAAAAAAATCCGATATTAATTTAGTAATAAGCCATTGACAAGAAAAACGAGTATCTCTTTCTTTTTGGTAACAAGCATAGATAGACTTCATTGATTCTGTTGAAAAATGAAATATTAACTTCTGAAAATGCAAATATAATCAAAAAACTATTACAATTATTGCCTAAAGTTGTATTGATAATTATAGATATAAAAGAATCTTAGCAATACTTATGAATAATACTTATTATCATAAATAAAACTATTACTTATTTCTGAAAATATTTATCATTATGGAAAACAAATGTCTATATTGAAAATAGCAATTTAAGTGATAATAATTAAAGATCATCAATATAAAATACTAATTTTTATAATCTAAAGAATCAAGTAGTTACATAGAAGCTTACATAAAATAGATACAAATAGTTTAATTTATATAGAATTGATTTATTTTTTATATTTTCTATAATAATAATAATATTATAATTATAACTTATATTATTAAAAAAAATAAAAATTTACTAAGTTTCTAAAATTTTGATTCATAATTTCATATTTTCAGATATTTAATATAAAAATTTAGCAAATCTAAATAATTAAAAGATACAAAATATTATCCAAACAACATTTATAAAATTATTTACATTTTCTGATATTATTAAGATATAAAATTTGATAGTTTCACATCACTTTTTTATAAATATTAAAGAAAAAAAGACTGAAGATTAAATATAGATTAACTTATAATATTTTTATATTAAAAATTTTATAATTTAATTTTTTCAAAAATTACATTTATAGAATTGATGTAGAATCATTCAAAAGAAAAATTATAAACTGATTCATTATAAAAAAGCTCACAAATAATATTATTTAATTATAAATTTTTTATTATATTAGCTGATTTTAAAATTTTACTAATATAAGCCTATTTTAATTCATTTAATTAGTTTTAAAGTTGCATGTAATATTTTCAAAAAAAAGAAATTTGTAAAACAAAAAAAAATAAAAATAAATTAATTTTTACATTTATGAAAATCTTAAAATTCTAAACAGGTCAGTTCAAATTAAGTCAATTGAGTTATCTAAACTGAGAGAGTCAGGTTAGGTTAAACAAAAAGCTGATCTGATTTTAATTTTCATTTGACCTAACCTGACCTGACCTGACTGAATTATTTTAATTGAATGATAATAAATCATTTAAGAAGAATGATTGGTTGATCTGAATTTTGTCAGTTCAGGTCAGATCAGGTAAACAGATTAATCTGACCTGATTCAGAGCTTTAATTTTATTTATTTTGTTTATTTATTTGATTATTTGTTATATTTTTTTTTTTTAGGCAGTTTTAGATTAAATCAGACAGATTTCAAAGAATTTTTGATATGTGACAAATATAAGTGGCTAAAATGTTTTAATACATTGTTTTATTTATTATTATTCTTACAATTATTTGATTAATTTTATTTATTAGGTTAGATCAGTTCATATTTTCGATCAGGATTATTAGACGAAGACAAAACAGAATTTTCATTATCACAGCATAGGTTTTTGACACATTGTTTGATTTTATTGGTATTTTATTATTACTTTAAATATTAATAATCGTAATCATAATAATAATTGATCATTAATTATTTTACATAATTACATAATAAACATTACAAAAAAAACTTACTTATTTATTCATGTAATTCTTTTATCCCAATTTTTTATTTAAAATCATATATAAACTACCATTATTCCTATAAATATTTATATTTATATTTATATAAAAACTTCCCGCACGAAGCTAACCATACCTATTCCTTCTTTTTGGGAATGACCATAGCTAAAACTATATAAATTGGTATCACAACTATATGGCATGAACTGTATATAGCGTTAATAAATCATAAAATTGTATAAATTGTATAGTATTATTAAAAATTTATTTTTGCAATAAATCGTCATTTTTAAAACTAGCGGTTTTAACCAGGATTCGCTAGCACTACGTGATATAGATGTTTAAAATTTAATTATTTAAAGCTTTTACAAAGAAAATTTAAATAAATATTTATATTTTATTTTATCACTAACTTCTACTCTAACCCTAATCTTAATACAACTTTCATCATTGGTGTTTTTATAAAAACATAATCTGACTCAATTTTTTTAAATAATTAAATTTAAAATTTAATTTTATAATTTTTTATTTTTTTTTAGATTTTCAACTATTTTATTATTATTTTTTTAAATGTAATTTACAGTATTGTATTTTATATTTTATTATATCAATTTTTCGGTTAATTTTTAATTTTTTAAATTAAATATCTTTTTTATTATAAATCACACACTATATATTTTCTCTCTAAATGCACGCTCTTGTTCAGTCCCAAGCATATAGAATTTATATAAAAATTTTCTCTTTAAATAAATGCACACCCTCTTTAAATGCACATTTTTTAAATTTTCACTATGGTCCCGAGGGGGTGCATTTAGAGAGGGTTGACTGTATATTATATTTTATTTAAATTAAATAACTGATTTTATTTAATAGCGCAATTTTTTTTTATTTTTGATTTAATTTTTTTAATTATTTTTTTTTTTAATACTGCCGCGATTTTAATTTGAATTATTTTTAGAAAATTATCATTTATCGCCAGTCCTTATATGCACGTGATATTCATATGATCATGACGATTGATGTCATTTTGATTTTATTTATCTAATCTCTAATAACCTTTCGCCTTTTACTATTCTTGTCAAGAGTTTCTCTCATATTTAAAATATTTTAACATTTCTCAAAGAACTTTAGTGATATTGGCGCAACTCAACACTATACTCCTTTAGACGTATTACAAACAACTACTATTTTCAGTTTATCTGTTGCTTATGCCACACTTTACTTTTTTTGCTTTGGCTGTATTACATACGAATATTGTTTCAAATACTTTGCACTTTGCATAAGATATGGCCGAGGATATCTTAGACGACAACGGTAATGTATTTTTTTCAAAGAGTTGTTTTTAGGCGTTTGGTTTAGGGTTAGTGTTAGGGTTTAGGGTTTAAGGTTAGGTTAGGGAATTTCGGTTATAAAAAATCTCCCCCGGAAAGGGGTGCTCGAGACTGTCAGCTGCGCTGAAGGCATTATGAATCAAGTGGTAAGAAATATTTAGATCCATCGATACTATTCTTGCAAAATCCAAAGATAAAACGTGGCAAAGGGCGTCCACTAGGCACTAAGAGATTTAAATCAGCTTGTGTAACTCATAAATCTAATGCAAAGGTCAACGACAATATAGAAAATGTGGAGAAGTAGGACATTATCAAAAAGATTGCAAGGTACAATCGGATGGTAATTAGTTAGTTTTATGTGTTGTTTGTATATTAGCGATAATACAATTTATTGTATTAAATTCTATAGTGATAAAAATAACGTACAGTACACATGATGATAATAACCACGTGATATGAGGGACATGCCATGGTGATGAAAAATAAAATTCTTATTTTTATTATGTTTATTTTTATTTAATTTCGATAGATATAATTTTATTTTATTTATTAACTTTTTATTTATTGAATCCTTTTATTTAATAAATTATTTTATTTTTTTTATTTTATATATGTCCCTATTTTTTTATTTAATTAATTTATTTTATTTTTCGGATTGATTTAAATTGATGCATTTCAATCACTAGCCAATTACATTGAGTTATATGACCATTTATGTATGTAAAAAAGATTATCAAATATCAATAATTTCTGTGGATAAGCCTCATTGAACCTCTAATAAAACGAATGTGTTGTTTCTGATTCGATTACTCGTAAAACAAATCAAAATATCATCAACGAAAGTAAATCATTTTACTTTACCATTTGGATTTACCAGATCTCGTGACTCAATTTGAATGACAGATTCAAATATTTAATAGCAGCTTTTACGTTTGTTTGTGATCACTTTTTTTTTATTGCCAAATAATTATGACAGTGATTTAATCCCGGTTATTTAAAAATCCGTAGGAACTTTGGTATCTTGCTCAAATAATCCGTAGATTGAGCTTTAATAGAAGTTGAAACATTTATTTCAGTAATATCCTTGCAAAGATACTTCTTCGTTAGGAACATAGCAGGAACTATTGTAGGAACTAAAGTGCTTAATAAATCTATGGCACTTCTCTTTTTTCCTTTTGAGGACGATGGCGATGTTGATGACGCCATAAGATATTATTACCTTTAATTGTTCTTATATTTAACTTAATTTTTTTTTTTCTGATTATTCTTTGTGAAATATTTTCTCATCTACTGTATAGACAGATATTATCAAAGTTTTTGTAAATAAAAGATTTCCTGGAACGTCAAGGATTTATTAAGACATATTCGCATCATCATTAATAGAAATCGGCATCCATTTATAAACGTGATAATTATCATCTAATAAAGTTACATAATTAGTTTTTCGTATGGAACAAAACCAAAATACATTATCGAACTTGGCAGGTAGAGTCTATCAATAGACATGATGGAATAATTTTTTTAGATATTAATTTGTGGTTAAAATTTTGAAAGTTGTAAAAAAAATTAATAATGATCAATCTTACTCTTCGATATTATTATAAAAATCAAAGACGCGTCGATTAAAAGTCGAGTGTATTAATTATTTGCAGCCTCGCGTATTTATACAACCAACAAAATTAGTCTTGTCTTACCATAGTAAATGATATAAGATGGCGTCTTATTGAATTCATTACTAATTACCATGCCATGATAAAAAAATTTTTTAGTGCACCTACATAATTGTTAAAGTTCATTGTTCCATTAAACATTAAACATTCCATTCTCTATTTTAAATGAGCATATTTCTGAATTTCCAAATATTTTAATATCTTGCAAACGTCATGTATTGATTCAAATGTAAAATAACAATAACCAATCTTTCGAGATTTTCCATGATAGCTATATTTTTAAACGGCTGGAAGTGTCAAAATCAACACCTAAACACATATTGAACAATTAAGAAGTAATTGAGATGCCATTATTGCATCAACATATTTTTGCTATTTATTATTTATTTCATATCTCATTTCTTCTTTTTTAACGCCTACGAGATAATTTTGGATGATTTTTAAAAATCAGAGCAATAAAGTATTAGCTTATTTCATATTACGTATAATTTCGTTAATTAACGAAACAAAAGGGCAGAAAATATTAAAAGCACGAGATCGTGAGTAATTATGTTGGTATTTAATAATATGGATGTAACTTTTTCGCATGTAATGCAGGTGATACTTTGAAGCAAATGTCATTCATTGTAATTTATATCGCAAGTGTAAATGTTTTCAGACATGAAGTTGAACTTGTTGATTAATTCTTTGTATCGAAGCGATCAAGTCAGATTTCAACACGGGTTAATAATGTCTGCTTTAATATTTCTTAAACATAATAACAATAACTAATTGATTTTTAATTTTGTTGATGTTTAAAAGAGTAGCAAATACTATTGAAATTTGATACGAAAATGTGAGAGGTTTTCATTCATATAGTTTGTTTAACCTTAATTAAATTATTATAGCAGAAACTGATAATACGTTTGTATTAATAAACGTATGAATGAAAAGGAGAAAACATAATATATGAATATTGATTAAAACAACATTACTTTATTTGGTATTTCAAAAGTTAAATTAGAAAGCTTTTTTTTATGTGCAACATGTTTACAATCTATTATTAACAACGAAGTGATATCACATCAAACGGATGTTGCATGTTTTCAAGCTAATGGAGTTTTGTAAAAGTGAAATACTTTGAAGGGCAAGAAAAGGTAATAATTCGCTAGTAATATTTTGGATTTTGATTTCTTTTAGGAAATTCAATGACGACGTAAATTCTTTATTCGGCAATTTTCTCTAGAATCTGCCTAAAAATATTTACAAGCAACATGTTTATGGAGAAGTTATGCTTGTTATAAGGAGTTGAAAGAAAATAAATGATGAAAAAATAAAAATATATTAAAAATTAAAATATTTATAAAAAATTCCCTATAACTGGTTAGCGAAAGCATTAAAAGTGGTAATTGCATATTAATATTTACCAATACTAAATAAAATATTGTAAATTTTACGAAAGATGTTTCAATAAATCTTTATTAACTCTTGAAAAAATGATTCGTTCAGAGTGGCTTCATTTAATATTACAAAATAATCTGTCAATAAACAAACAATTATCAAGAAAAATATTTTTGAACAAGCTTGCAATAAATGCTTCCAAAACGAATTTCCAGAATCCGTTCACAAGTGTTGCTTTTTTCACTTATGTCAGAATTTTTGGAAAAAATTTCAAACTTCAGGATTAGAAGCCGAATATGGAAGGGATGAAGATTTTAGCCTAAAATTACGCCATCTTACAGCTTTAGCTTTTTTGCCACCATCTGAAATTCCAGATGCCTTTAACCAAATTAAGCCTTTAATGCCTTCAAATGCACTTGCAGTCGTACAATATTTTGAAGACAATTGCATTTATGGTAGAACTCGACTCGAAGAGTTCTTAGAAATAATAGATCTGAGCGTCGAAGTCCACCTATATTTCCACCAAATCTTTGGTCTGTATACGATCTTATTGAAAATAACTATCCTAGTACTCAAAATGTTGTTGAAGGATGGCACCAACGATGGCTTACATTATTCGGAAGAAAGCATGTAGATGTATATACAATCATTGAAGAAATGCGTAATGAACAATATCAAACTCAGTTGCAAATAGAAGGTATTCTTCGTGGCGAACCTTCAATACTCAAACCCAGGCATCAAATTATTCGTGAAAATCGCATTTTAAATGTTTTTTAATAATCGTGATAATTGCACACTTGTTGAATTTTTAAGAGGAGCTGCACACAATATTTCTCTTTGATTATCTCAGTTTTATTTTAATTAAAAAATTTATAAAGATTGCTTTTTATTAAAAATTATTTTGATATAAATTATTAAAATATAGTTAATCTTGAATTTTAATTTTTATTATTAAATTTTGCTAAATTTTTTCTTTAACGACATGAATGGTCATTTCCAGGTCTAAAATTCAAATAAATTTGTCTTTCGTCATTTTTATTGAAACAGATAGATACAGTTGTATAAGTGAAATCTCCATATCTTAAAAATTATAATTATATTATATGTTTGTTCTATTGCTATATATTTCATGTAAATTGTCCATTCGGATATGGAGATTTCGGGAATATTGACATTCGGGATATTGAGATTCGGGAATTTGGCATTCGAGATGTTAGAGTTCGGGAAATTGGGCGTTCAGGATTTTAGATTTCGGGAAATTGGATGTTCGGGAAAATGGATATTTCATGTAATTCGGGATATTGGGTTTCGGATGTTGACATTCGATAAATTGGACTTTTCGGTAAAATGTCCACTTCGGGAATTTGGCGTTCGGGCGAGTGGACTTCGGCAAAAGGTATATTCGGGAAACTGGTTTTCGGGCAATCGTCATATAACCGATATTTACTACAATGACACATTTACGTAGTATGTATAAACTTTCTAATACAGTTAACTGATTCCTATTTTTTCATTATTAAATAGGTCCAATCAAAATTTTTAGACTCGAATGAATTATCGTAAATTGATTTATACGTTTTTTTAAATCTTGACATTTTATTGAATGCGAACGCGACTTTTTTTTTTTATAAATTTCATACTCATTTGTTTGTGACTTATTTTCTTTGTATCTTATTAAAAAGAAGATATATCATGACATGGAAGGTCTATAGTTTCATTTCTCGCATGTCAAGCTTGAAGATGAGCTTGAAGAAGATCTTTGCAAAAAAAACGTCTTGATGTTCAAAATTGATGGGAAGACGAAAAATCGACGTCTGTTATTCTAAAAAAGTATTCATCCTTAATTATTCTAGAAGTTCCAGCTCTGTGTAAAGTTTAATTTGTAAGGTAATTAGTGATTAAAAAAAGAAGCAGCAACTAAAGAAAGTCTATAATTATCATATCGATTTGCCTCATCTAAGAGGCGTTTTCAACGCTTTAAGATTCATAAGAAATCAATGAGATTAATGCAACAAATTATAATATACAAATCCCTCAAAATATCATATTACGCCCTAATAATAAAAATAACCAATATTTAATGAATGCTGTTTCGAGAAGTTTTTAGTTAGGCGTTTTTAACCATGAATATTTTAAACTTAAAATTAATACTTTACATTCGTTAATAATTTTATTAGTAAATTATATACTAAAAATATCAATTTTGAAATAGAACTATATAAGCAATTAATAATCTTAATCTATATAGAAGAAATAAAATAAAAATATGGTTATTATATTCTGCAACTAAATTCATGGTCATGGCCGCCAGGGGCCGGCCTTATTTTTCTTGTAATCCATATTTGAATTATAGCACCATGTATACAAAATGCTACTTGAACATTCGGCAGTTGACAGAATTCAGATATTCTTCAAAGGAATATGAGTCTAATATTAGATACTAGAAGGTATTCTAATATTGTGAAAAAAATATTTCTCGACATCAAATAATAATTTTTGGAGGAAAAGTATATGATAATATTATAGAACTTCAGTATACACTTTATGTATTAGATTTGACAAATTTTGAATGGTCCATTCTGAAATTATCTGAAAACAAACCTGCAGAATCAAGAGCTTGGTATGAAGCAGATGTAATTGAAAAATACATGGTTATATCATTTGGTAAATATGATATTTAATAATGAATTATTTAGGCTTAAAAGGTTTAACTTTTAATCTTGTCTAATTTTAAAATTAATAAATAGGTGTAGGCAATGATGAGGATAAAGATAGTGATGATATCTTATTGCTTGATATTAGTAATAATGAAGAATATATATGGACAAATACTTTTGAACTTTCAACAAAGCAATCAACACAATTATCAATACCAGCTATAATTGGTATAATTATAGAAACAGGACTTTTTCTATTATTTGGAAGTTTATTTTTATATAAACAAAATATAAAAAATAAAAAGAATAAATATAAAAGAGAAACACAATAAAATGAAAAAAATCAACAAGGTTTACCAATCTAAAAGACTTTAAATATTAATAAATAATTATTTATAGTATAGTATAAACAACAATTACTAAAATGTTATAATAATAAAATAATTTTTTATTAATGCTTTTATATTATAATTTTATTTAGCTATTTAAATATTAATAAACATAAATATTAAATTAATATATTTATAGGTATTTTTAAAGTATTGAGATATATAATTTATAAATAGCTAAATTATATAATATTTTTTAAAAAAATTATTATAAGATTGTTTTTATCATTTATTTTAAATATTTATATATTAATATTTTAAATTTATTATTTTTAAAAATGAATTTAGTAGAGTTCCAAATTAGGTCAGATTAACTTATTTACTTAACCTATTCTAACCTGAAAATTCAGAGATCAAATCAATAGATTTTTAGTTAATGTTAGTTCAGATTAACAACTTGAATTAACCTAAACTAACCTGATAAAATTCAGGTTAACCAATCATTCTTCTTGAATGATTTATTATCATTCAATTAGAATGATTAGATTATCATTTTTTTTAAATGATTTATTATCATTAAATTAGAATAATTAGATTATTATTCTTCTTAAATAATTAGGTTTTTTGTTTAATTTAAATGATTTTTTATCATTTAATTTGAATGATGTCTTATAATTTGATTTAAAATAGTACCTTATCATTTGATTTGAATGATGTCTTATTATTCTTCTTAAATAATTTATTATTATTCAATTAGAAAAATTAGATTGTTATTCATTTTGAATGATTTATTTTTATTCAAATAAAATAATTCAGTTATAATTTTTCTTAAATAATTTATTATCATTATACTAGAAAAAAATTTTATATTTGGATCAAGTCAGATCAGATCTTAATTTTTTCAGTTTAGATAACTTGGTTGACCTAATCTGAACTAACCTATTTAATACTCTAGAATTTAGCAATTAATTCTTTATAATAAAAATATTAAATTATGATATTAAATTATCTTTATAAAAGAATTTTATTTTATAAAAATTATTTTATCTGAAAAATAAATCAGAGTTAAATAAAATAAAACTTTTAAATAGTTTTATAAATTCTTAATTTTAAATGATTTTTAAGATTATAACTAGTATATAACTTTTTACTTATCCAAATTCTATCTAAATAAAAAAATAAAATGTTATATTAAATAAATAAATATAAAATTAACATAATATAAAATCAGATTATTCATTTTTATTTTACTATATCTTTTTATCACTAATTTGTTAATATATTAAATAATATAAGTAACATTTGAATTATAAGATTAATTTCTCCTATAAAATATTAATTAAATTTTTTTTTAAAAAAAAGCTATCTAATGTATCTATAATAATTTAATATAATTTTACTTTAAAATATAATAATTTTCTTTTAAAATTTAAAGAAAATAAATATTAATATAAGGAACTTATATATTCAGTTTATATTTCTATAAAAATTAAATAAAAATATCATAATGATAATTTTTCAAAACCAAATACTTGAATAATTATAAAAGTTTTATTATCATTATTTTTATTAATCAAAATAAAACCAAATATTTATAAGCATGATAACTTGAAAAATTATTAAAATTATTATATTTTTGACAAAAATTGAAAGGATAAACTTTGATAATTACTATATAATTTTAATATTATAATATTTATATAATTTCTTTTGATAATATTTATATTATATAAATATAATTATAGCAAAAAATAATAATGTGATTATTTAGTTTAATATTTATAACTTTTTTATCAATTTTATATATATTTAATTGATTAAAAATATAAAGAAATAAATGAAATAAAAATTACATTTTGTATTAATTTATATGTTAATAATACCTTATCATTTAATAGCAATAATAATATCATTTAATTTTTGCAGATTCTGTAATAATCACAATAAGAATTACATTCATTTTTTTAAGACAATAAAATTTAAAAAGAATTGTTTTTTTATTTTAATATAAATTTTATGAAATTATATAAATTAAATGATATATATATTATATCTAAAATTAATTTTTATCTAAATTAAAATTTAGATGAAGATGATCTTTAAATATTTGAAATTGAGATTCAAAGATCAGTTAACTATAATTGAAATTCTAATTTCAGATATCTTTTTATTATTTGAATTTTAATTTCAGTCATAATTATATTGATTAATTTCTCTAATTTCTAATTTTAGATATAAGATTATTTAAAATTTAGAAACTTCAAATAAAATTTAAATTTTAAATACAAAACTATTTGAAATTAAACTAAATTAAATATCTGAAAGTTAATTTAGATAGAATCTGAATTTTAGATATAAAGCCATCTAAAATTAAGATAATTGAAATTAAACTTCAAAAAATCTAAATTTAAATATAAAATCATTTGAAATTAAATATTTGAAATTAAATTTTAAATAGAATCTGAATTTTATATAAATTATATATTTATAAGAATTTTATCTATATATACATAAGTAATTTATTTTATTTAATATAATTTTATGTTTTTTTTAACTATTTCTTTTATTTATTTTTTTTATAATAAAAAAAATTAATAATTCCTTTTTTCTATAATTAAAAATTTGAAAAATATAAGTAATTTTAGTAATTATAATTTATAAAAAAATTAATGTTTCAATCAATAAAATTTGAAGAATCTGGCTGATTATCTTTAATTATTATAATTTTTATAGAAAAAGTTTAACATTTATTCTCTTTATAAACTTATCTTTGATTAAACCAAGAAATGAAAATAAATAAAGAATGATTGATTAATTAAAAAAGATAAATCTAACCAGCCAACCAAATAAATCTTAACATTTTTATAAGTAATTACTGATCTTTATTTATTTCTTTATTTTAAAGTATTTCTCTTGGTTTCAAAATAGAATAATGAAACAGGTAGCTCATAAAGGTATGAGTTCTTTTCTATTTACTTCCTGAAGTTATTAAAGAATTAAAAAGAAAAAAAAAAGTGAATGTTATGTGTTTAACATAAAATAAAAAAAAAGCTTACCGATATAATTTTAAAAATAGTAAGCAAAAAAAAAAAAAATATCGAAAAGAAAGAAAGGAAAAGAAAGTATAAAATGATAAAAAATAAAAAGTAAAGCAAAAATAACCTTAAAAAAACAAGAAAAATCAAAAATTTAAGAAAAAATAAAAGTAAAACATCGGAAATTTAAATGCGATAAAATTTAATAAATAGAAATCAAAAGCTATCTTGTTTTAATATTATAATTCAGCTAAAAAGATAATTTTTATTAATATGCCAAGAGACAGAAATATAAAATTTTAAATAAGTTGACAGTTAACTGTCATATCGTGATTGGTTAAAATAGTTTTTATATTGGAATCTCAATTCAGACGAAAATCAACAGCAGAATCATCAATTATTTATGCTGATATATGTAAATTTATAATGTGTTAAAATTCGTTTTATTTATAACCATTCTGGACGAAAAAAACTTAAATCAAGTGGTACGGCTTTATAAGACATAAATATATTATGGGTTGGCAGCATATAAACCATTTCGAGAAATTTTAATTGTTCATAAAGTTTAATGCAAACTATCTATAAGGCTTCTCGCTCTGTAAATAATGTTATTTAATTATTACAAATTTTAAAATTATATTTATTAAAATTTTTTTATTCAATTAAATCAATGCACCCGAAACTAAAGTTTTATTTATTTATTTATTTATCTTTACATAAAGAAACTAACATTCATATTTCAATCTATTCTGTACAAAAGAATTAGTTTTAACCAATTAATGCCAATGATCTCTTCCAATTTTTTTTTAAAAAGAAAATACATTTCATTTCATTAATATTTAAAACGATAATAGTAAATAGATTTAATTAAGCTTATCATATGAGAGGCGGTCAGTGGGAAATCCACTTTTTAGTCAAAATGTTTTTGTTGGTTCGCTCTGCCGATCATGGTTATGTGAGCAAACACGCTTAATAACTAAAATTACCCGCCTTCCATAGATAGGTAATATATAAATAATTCTTATTGATCAAAGTTTAAATAAATTCTATCCATGAAAAATTATTCCACGGACAAAGTATATTAATCATATACGACCGTGTAATTATGACGTTAATTTATTTAATAAATATTAATTAATCAGTGTTGCCTCAACGTCACTTTCGCAATTCAAATTTATGAATGTTAATTACTAAATGTTAATTAATTAAACTACGCAAAATACAATCGGAAAAAAAAATAATAAGCGAGGAAATTAAAACAATTTTACGATAGGAAATTATAAAATTAAAAATAGCGAAGGCGATACTATCGCAAGATAGAAAGGGAAAAATTAAGTTGTATGTATGCAATTTAAAGGAAGGCGAAATGTGAAAAATTATATTAAATTTTTATGTTTAAGGACCTCAAATCCTAGCATACAAATATATAAATTTTAATTAGAACAAACGACATGTTGTCCTAACATAGACTAACCAGATTTAGCGAAGACAATGCAATTTAGCTAAAATTTTGTTTCTTCCCAGCGAAATTATATTACTGTAAATGCAACAAGGTTCGGAAAATGCAGTTCTAAATCGGAATTTCTCCTAGAATCACTCGTATATATTGAAGAAAAAAGAATAGCGACTAATACGTGATTGTAAATGCAATTCAAAACTTTCATTAAAAATATTTCCATAATTTGCATAACATTACCTTACATATATTTCAAATTTTTTTTTTATCATGTATGGAAGGAGTTAGATTGTAAATGGATTCAAGAAAATAATAATCCGATATTATGTGACTTTTACATCGGGAGAAAATTATTTATTTGCTTGAGTTTACGTTCGGTCGCAATCGATTGATACCTTGTGTCGTTATTTGGAATAATCAGGTTATTTATAACCTTGGAAGAATATATTCAATTTATTTACATACTGAAAATGAAATGAACATTTTCTGGGTAGCGTGTCGTTCTAATCTAACTTGCCTTCTGCCTTTTAGTCTTTGAAACCTTCTTGATCCGCAGCATTTCAAAATATATGTGTGTATACAAAATATGTCGCGGTCACATGCTCCATCACGACAAAATGCGTAGTTATCATAAAATACTTCCCTATTTGCTTCATGACATTTCCTCATTATATATGTAGTAAACAGATTTCTTTGTCGAAAGCTTCCATCATATGATAGCGCTGGTTTTGTGTTGTGGCAGATCTCGCCAATCACATCAAACAATATCCTAAATAATTAAGGCCTTCTTAAAGAAATTTATATAAAAATTTTTTTGACACTATTCACTTATGTAGTTAAATATCGCAAAAAACATAGGAGATGTTGTAGCCCAAATGCGTTAATGTCCGCGCATTTCAGACATTTACGCACTTGGGATACAACAGAGACACAATGAAGTTATGATGTGTAAATAAAGATTTTATTAATTTAGAGTTTCTTGTTTCTTCTCAAAACTTATTAATATTCACAACTTAAAACCTCCCAGAAAGTTTTTGAAAATCTGTTGACAACCAGGTTAATAATAAATAATGAAAATATTGAAGAATATAAATAATGAATAATTGATAAAAATATGTTATCAGAAAGAAATAAATTTGATAAAATTGTCGTCATGTTATTTGGCTCATAAGGTGCAGTCAAATCTTCAGAATTCAAATATTTCGTTTGGCAGATAATATAACATCGAATATTTATGGTATTGATAACATCACCAATATAACAATTTTTTTTTTCGAACTTCCCTTAATACCGGTCAATATGTTGTACGATAGGTATGATCGCTTGATCGGCTGATGTTCAGGGAGCCTGCAATCGATTCCTAAGTTTCACGATTTGTCTGTCTTTTTACCCGCTTCAATCAAAAATTATATCTAAATTTCAAACATACCTTTATTTCATAGCATTGTCAAATATCATTCAAATCAATTAAGTATGTTATACAAAAAAAAATAACAAAATATGTAGACCTAATGCTCAGCTATATTCTGAAAAAAAAATATCATCACAATGTCAATCGATGTACAAGGCTTGATCTTTTATTGAATATCACCTGATTTTCGAAACCTTAGAATTTGATTAGCATTACTGCAGAGTATGGACCGTTTATTTGTTTTAATGTCAATGTAATAAAATTAAAAATTTAAAAAAAAGATAAGTATTTTTTCGTAAGGACCGTTTTCTCAATTTCTCATTGTGCGTTCACCTTCCACCCATTTTCGCTATTTCTTCTCTATAGTCATTTTTTTTTTAATTATTATTTTTTTTTTGTTTTTATTTCTCCGATAACTTAATTCTATTGTTCGCGGTTGTTTTATTTAATTAGCAATTAGTGATTAGCTTAATTAATAAAACGGAATTTGGAAAGTTTAGAACGTCGAAGTTAAGGCGACACTTGATAAATTAATTTTAATAATTATTACATCCTATTTTATAAACATAGTGTAAAGTCATTCTGCTTAGAACTGAATGCAACAATATTTGGCTAATGACATTTCGCCAAGCGAATATAATTGTTGGAATTATCAATTCAAAAATTTGTTAATAAAATATAGTTTCTAAAATTTCGTTGTAACCCAAATGCGTTAATTTCCGAATGATCATTTCGGATATTCCAAATGCGAAGATATCCGTATGCATTTGGGCTACAAGTATAAATAGGCTTTTTTTTTTTTCAAATGGTTTTTATCTTCCGGTTTATTTTTTTATAATGAAAGCATACGTACAACCATCATTATCATCAACAACATATATACATCGTAATGAAATACTAACATTTAGGTTCTATATATTATCTGCAGGAGAATACTCAACTTCAAATTCGTTAACAATACAACTATGGAGCAACCTAAAAAATGCTGTTTGGAATGGTCTAAACTTTACAGAAAAAAGTAAAGAAGTGATTTTTGGGTGTAAGGAAGAAAAATATCGTGTGTTTGAAGTGGAATCTGGCACAGATGTTGAAGAAGGTTGGTATGAATTTACAGTTAGAGTACATAGTTCAGTATGGAGTAATGATGAAGAATGGAAATGGTTAAGCGAGGGTGAAAACCAAAATGGAAGAATTTTTATTGGAAGACCAAAAGAAAGTATGCTAAATGTTATTTCTATTTCTGCGAATTTGAAAGGAATCGAAAGTATTTTTGATGAACATGTTTTTGACCGCATAGAGAAATTACAGACAGGTAATAATACTCGCACTGATAGTTGGTGTACGTCAATGAGCATGACTATATCCAAAGAGTTCTTTGTTTACAGAAGTTTAGGTAGACCTAAGGAATTTGTTAGATATTTTGGATTAAAAAGAATGACAAATTGGTGGTTGGTTCCGACAACTGGAAGCGAGAAATTAAATATTTTATCAGAAGATGTTCAATATTTAATTATACAACAATCGTCAGGCAATTTTGTAGTTTTAATTCCTTTGACCAATGAGAAATATTATAGTTCACTTAATTCAGATGATAGCGGAGAATTGATATTAAAATGTGCAATTAATAGTAAGTGCGACAAAGAAGTTGAAGTTAAATTAGTTATAAGCAGAGGGTGGGATTTAAGTGATTCAGTGAAAAGTTGCATGGAGGCGACTAAAAAAATAACGTTTCGGGAAGATGTTGAACATGAATCAGCGCGGGTTAAAAGCCACGGAATTGATTATTACGATAAATTAGGATATTGCACGTGGAATGCATTTTATGATAATGTTAGAGAAGATGATTTATTACGAGCGCTAAGGTCTTTGCATAATGTCGGAATACAAATTGGATATATTATATTAGATGATGGATGGCAAAAAATCAATAAAAATAGAGAAATGCAAGGATTTGAAGCCAATCAAGAAAAGTTTCCTAGTGGATTAAAAGGATTAATTGATAAAGTGAAGAAAGAATTTCCTTATGTTGAAAATTTTGGCGTATGGTGAGTATAAATACGTTTTAACGCCATCAATTAATAAAAATAAATTAGTTCTAACGTTGCTTCTCTTTTTATCATTTTATAGGCATACATTATGGGGATATTGGAATGGGGTCGATCCATCATCACTTTCTACAAAATATGATATTCACAAGAACACATATCAAAACGCTAAGGCAGCTCATATAATTTCACCAAAAGATATACATAGATTTTATAATGATTTTTATTCATACTTGAAAGAACAGGGTGTTAACATGGTTAAGACTGATTTTCAAGCGTGCTTTGATGATATTATAGATCATGAGGAATGTAAATGGTGGTGGGTTGATTATCAAAAAGCATTAATAGAATGTAGCAATAAATATTTTAATCAAAAAATCATTTATTGTATGGCTCATAGTCCTTTCATCATGCAAAATACGTTATCAAATAAAAGTATTTTAAGTGGAGATTCTAAACCCCTTTTTAGAAATAGTGATGACTATTATCCGGATATTGAAGAATCACATTCGTGGCATATTTATACAAATCTTATGAATAATTTGTTTACGATGCATTTATATAGTATACCAGAATGGGACATGTGTCAGTCTTATCATAAGTATGGGGAGTATCATGCTGCTGCCAGAACAATTAGCGGTAGTCCGATGTATATTACTGATTTACCGGATCATCATAATGTGGAAATATTGAAAAAATGTTTGGTTAAAACTCCAAAAAATACCATGCAATTATTGAGATGTGAACAATCTGCTGTTCCGTCTGGAAATACTGATGATTTATTTTTAAACTTGACTAAGGTTGATAAATTATTGAAGATTTTGAATAAGAATGGTAGGATTCGTGTACTTGGATTGTGGAATTGTCGAGACAAAGATATAATCGATCAAATTAACATTAGGGAGAGCTTAAGGTTTGGAGAGTATTCTATGAAAGAAAGTGAGGATGTAAAAGAAGATATTGTGATTTATTTTGTGAAGAATAAGGAGTTGGTATCTTTGAAGAAAGAGAATATTAATGTCATGGTTAGAAAACAATCTTTTGAAATTGTTTTATTTATACCTGTGGATATGTTAAATATAGATAATTACCGTATCAAGATGGCCTGTATCGGATTAATTGATAAATATAATGGGAGCAATGCTATATTGTCAAGTGAATTAAAAAGAATTCGTAATCAAGCTGTTTATTATGCTAATTTGGTTGGTTATGGAGAATGTGGATTTTATATATGGTGTGATAAGGGAAATATTGTTAATATTAATGTCTATTCGAATGATGATGAAGTGGAGGATAAGAATATAAAGTATGAAATGGAAAAGTACATGTTAATCGTTCAGTTAGGAAATAATGAAAGAGAATGTGAGAAGGATAGCGTTAAATTAAGAATTGAAGTAAATTTTGATGTATAGTAAAAGATTTCTAATGATGAATGAGTTTATGATTTTAATAAAATATTTTTATTTATTGGTATATTTGAAAATTGTATTGTTCAATTAGGTAAGCGATAAATTTGGCAATTACAGTTGATAAGTTGGTCAAATTACTAATGAAAGAGGTTTTAATAAATTTATAAACTGAAATATTTCTCTAGATTAATATTTTATTATAACAGAGAAGTTTAAATAAGCCTTTATTATAATTAAATTTGACAAATTTCAAAGTAATACAAAGTTATATATAAATCATGTGATTAATTGTATTTTAATTATAAATATTTCAGAAGTTTAAATCTAATATAAGTATAATGAAAGAATTTTGCTATGAATCATCAGTTATGTGATTTCTTATAGAATAATTTGTCACCCCGCGTCACACCTTTCACGTTTATTTTCAGAATTATTTTCGAGTGTTAAATCATATTCGTTACATGTTATTCGTCGCGTCCCTAATTTCGGCCAAAATTTATAATGCCGGCTAAAATGCCTTTTTTGAAAGGTTAACGATTCAAAAAAGGTAATTTTGATTTTTTGACAAAATTGGCAAAATTCAAATTAGGTCACACAAACCTCCAATCAAGAAAATTTGTAACACCGGTGATCAATAGCAAGCTTCATAAATAAAATATATTAAAAAATTAATTATTTATAAAATATAAATTTTATTTATTATATTTTTAAATATTTTATTTATTATAAAGATAATTATTGTTAAAATAATAATAATTAAAGTTATTTAATTTAATAAAAACAAATAAGCCAATAGCTAAAAAAGAATAAAATTTTTTATCAATTTAATTTATTTTATTTATTAATATATTTTATTAAAAATATATCAAAACTTATAAAAAACATTATTTATTTAAAATATATTATAATATTCTATATTAAAATATTATTCTTTAAACTATAAGTATAAAATTATTTTCTAATAATATAAAAAGATAAAATAAAATTTCTAGATTTATCATATTATGATATATTTAATAGTAGTATTTTTAAACTTTTAAAATTAATAATTATCAATATATATTAATTTATT